GCCTTCTGGTTTCTATAAAAACCAGAGTTAAGTTTTCTAGGTACCTGAAATCTAGATGGCCATCTGTCAGCAATGCTGATTCTGTGAACTTAGGCAGATCATGAGAGGGAGGGGAGGAAGGGTTGCATCAGTGCTTAGTTCTTGTGGCCCTTTCTTACACGCCCAGGGAAATGCTGATCGCCACTTTGGAGTCAGGAAGCAGTTTTTCTCCAGGCCAGTTTGGCTGGAGATTGTGAAGGTTTTTTGTCAACTTCTGGGCATGGAACTGCGGTCACTGGGGTGTGGGGGGGAGGTATTTGTGAATTTCCTGCATTGTAGAGGGGGTTGGACTAGACCTCGGAGGTCTCTAACAACTCCATGATTCTAGATGGTGGCATCTTATGATGATATATTTTCAAAAGGTTTTGGGCTCTTGATTATAACAGGAAGAATGGCCCATCTATTTCCAGTAAAGCACTCTGTCTGTCCCTGAGGTTGCTCTTTGTATACAGTGGGCAAGTCACATCTGAGTGCTTTTCAATCAGTTTTGAGTTCACCCGCAATTATTTATGCACAGAAATTTTTGTGTTCCACATGATACTTATAATAAATGCATGTAATGGTGTACCTTCAAAATGACAATTCATTACAAGTCAGTGGTCACCTCTTTGATCTCTTCCTCCCTTGCTTTCTTCTGAAAGAAAGCTACATAAGGGAAAATGCCTTTTAAAGTATTCTGTTTTACATTTCTAAAAATGTTTGTACAACTGTGTTTGAAATGGCACAAGGTGTGCAGTGTGAACTGCAAGAAAGACAGTCCATTATAATGTAGACAGCTTTTGTCCTGGGTAGTGATGCCTCTTCCCTTCTGCTCCCCAAAATAAAGCAGCAAGAAGCAGTATGAAGATTTCTCTTTGAATTGACTGCGGGATGCTCAAAGCCACTGAGTTTTTTAGTGACAGCTGTTGCTGTTGGAGAGATGAAAGTACTTGGCCCAAGAGTCTGTTTATGTGTTTGAGCAGAGAAAGCAATATTCGTTGCAAGGAGCTCTGAGACAGACAGAGTCTGAGAATGAGAGAGCGAGAGATAATTATCTAAATTATGTTCAGGCTATTATTGAAGACGAATATAGTTAAAATGTAATTAAATATGACGGGCTCACAGGATGCAAGCATGGCTTTGGAATGCTAATCATCAATTACAGTTCTCCTTAGGGGACTCAGGCAGAATGAGAGAGTTGGGAGGGGATGACTGAGGTGAGATATGGAGTATTAAATAACATACCCCAGGGCTATAACAAGGCTAATTTCTTTTAAGAGATGAAGCTGTGGCACCAAGGGGACTTTGGCCGACCAAGCAGCATGCACTGTTGGCTTTCAGCTTAAGGACCCTCATGGAAAGCCTGAGCATAGGCTGCTGGTCCCTGGTCTTTTCTTCAAGGCATGAGCCTCAGCTGGAAGTAATGATTATATTTTCCAATTATAATGCCTATGTTTTTGTGTACATACTGATGGTATATTTCTCACTTAGTCTTCCATACATTTATCTCATCGTACACCACGGGGCCCACAGTTCTTGCTGGGACTTCTTGGCATTGCCAAAAAAACAAAAACAAATTATCACCATAGAAAAATTGGTTCATTTTCTAGCTATCATTCATGTTGTGATGCAGGAATAAGAAAACATTACCTTCCACTACGTGATTCAGAGGAAGACTAAGTGAATTGTAAACAAAAGAAACAAAGCTGTTTGTAGGAGGAATGGGGTCAGGGCTTTGCATGGAGAAGGTCCAGGGTTTGATCCCCAGTATTTCCAGTTGAAAGGATCAAGTAGACCTTTTGTCTGGGCAGCTGTCAGTCACAGTGGGAAAAGAGACCTTGACAGACAAATGGTGTGACTCAGAATGCAGCAGCTGCATGTGTTCAGGATCTCAGGTAAACATGCCTGGCTTCTCTCCACCTTCCACCCCCACCTTTGAAGAGAGCATCTTCAAAAAACTGTTTCTGCGGGTTCCTGGATCAAAGTAGCACAGAGGAGGACCACTGACATTTTTTTTTGACAATGCGATTATACAAATCACATGTTTTGACAATGTGATCATAAAATTATTAAGATGTTTCATCTACATAGAACTCATTCAAGAATCACCAGGTCTCACCTTTCAGTCCTTTCAGAGTTAGAATCTCTATGTGTGAAAAGGGAATGGGTGCGTTTGTATGAACATCCCCTGATTGTCAGGTGTTTCTTAGTATATCCAAATATTAAGGGGTTGCCAGTCTCCGGGTAGGGGCTGCACTTCTCCTGGAATTACAGTGGATCTCCAGGCTACAGAGATCAGTTTCTCTGAAGGAAATGGCATGTTCAGAGGGTGGATTCTATGGCATCACATCCCTATTGACCTCTGTCTCCTTCCCTACCTGGAGGCTGACAACCCTAAGGGCAGCAAAGTGGCTCTGATTAAGCACTGAAGGACTCATCTGTGTTTAGGGAGTATGCTACAGCTCCCGTGATGGCCATCCACCAGGATACATTGTCCATGCATAGATGTGTCAAAGGTTTACTGGTGTGAGTTGGGATCTTTCCATTGTGCCCTCCCTGCAGGCTTTGATAAGTAGCAGAAAGGAGGTGGGGGAAGAGATAATCTGTGGCAAGATTAGTATAATTTAGGGTCAGGTGTTCAGAAACTAATAGTGCTATCATAAACCAGGTTATAGTTTTCTATATCCATTTAAGTTAATGGGTTGAGAAAGGTGTAATTCTGCTTGCAAAATGCCGGCCTGGATGAATCAGAAGTCGGAATTAAGATTGCCAGGAAAAACATCAACAGTCTCAGATATGCAGACAATTCCACTCTAATGGCAGAAAGTGAAGAGGACCTAAAGAGCTTCTTGCTGAGGATGAAAGAGGAGAGCGCAAAAGTTGTCTTGAAACTCAACATCAAAAAAACTAAGATCATGGCATCCAGACCCATCAATCAAATCAGTCAGTCCTAAAGGAAATCAACCCTCTGGAAGGCCAGATACTTTGGCCACCAAATGAGAAGGGAGCACTCATTGTAGAAAACCCTGATGTTGGGAAAGATTGAGGGTAAAAGAAGGGGACGGCAAAGGATGAGATGGTTAGACAGTGTTATCGATGCAACAAACATGAAGTTGAGCAAACTCCGGAGGACAGCAGAGGACAGTAGGGCCTGGCGTGATGTGGTCCATGGGTTTGCAAAGAGTCGGACTCGACTGTGCGACTGAACAACAACAACAAGGCATATATATAGGATACAGAACTGCATCATCTGAAGCGAGACACCGGATTCCTGTTCCTGTCATGGCGTGTGGCCTGGCGTGATGTGGTCCATGGGGTTGCAAAGAGTCGGACTCGACTGTGTGACTCAACAGCAACAACAATTCTGCTTGGGATGCCATTGTCAAACAGTAACCCTTAGTTGATCAACTAAGAACTATTCAGTGGGGCTTCATACCAGGTACTCTAAGGATTGCTGTGTCAGATTTGTAAAATTAAATGGGAGAGGCAAAAGTTTATATTTAATGCAATTCTGTGCATTAAATACAAAACACAGTTCTGTTTTCTGTAAAGCCAATAAGCCACTATTGTGGCATTTTTAAAAAAAGAGACATAACCCATAAACTGTCGGTTGTTGCCAAAATCTTACCATTCCTATCATCTGTAGCTGAGCTTGATCATTTAGTTTTGTGAAATAAAAAATGAAAAGGTTAATAGCTTAAATATTTATCTGTTTTATTGAAACTGTATAAATATTTACCATTTCCAAAATGTCAAAAACAAATACATTGTTTTCTGCAAGCTGTTTCTAACTAGCATATACCTACCATTTATATTGTTTTTGAAAATATATCTGTATAGTTAAAATCACAAAAAAGTATGATTCATTCTTCTGAGGAGTCTACACAACCTTTTTTTAAAAAATCGGTAATACCACCAGCAGAAGAATTATGGGAATGTCTTGCTTGATCTTATAAATGACATGAGCAGACTACCATGTGACATGTTTCCAAACAGTGCCTTTCCTAGTAATGTACCTTTACCATGTTGGAATGTGTTTATAACAGCAAGTAAGATATTTCCATGTAGAAATTATTGTGTGACTGGGCAGTACAGTAGTAGCCTTTAGTCTTATCATACTCAGAACCCAACTGTACTTTTGATATGCAACATGGGATCTTGTTTGAATTATTTTGTCCAGGGGCCCATCTTCCTCCTTTTCTCTCTAAGATGACCAGATGTAAAAGAGGAATTTCAGGGCTCTTGCACTTTTACCAGTTGTGTAGAATAGAAACTCTGAATCGGTGCAGCATGCCAGATGGGGCAGGAGAAAGCTGTCCTTATATCACTTACACCATGTCATTATTAAAGAGCTTTTATTATGTTCTCTTCTCTCTGTGTGTTGTTAGGATGTATATGGTGTCCTCCATCCAAGAGCTGGTCAGACCTAGACCTGCTTAGTTTCAGCTGCGTAATCATACCATGTGCCTCAGGACATTCTGTAGCCAACAACATGCAGGCAGCTGAGAACACCAAAGAAACCAACTATGCACAGTTGTTAAAGGCATAAAAGACATTGTCCTCCTTTGCATCTGGTAGTTCTCTGTCATTTCTGTCACATAAGATCAGGGCACAACCCATTTGTCTTGACCTACCAGTTGAAGACTAATTTTGCTCAGTTTTTAATACAATTGTTAAGGTGTTTACATTTTGGGGGATACTTATATTTGTTAGTCTGGCTGTTAGTCACTTTTAGTAATTCTATGGAAAGTTGATTCAGAATTGCATTAATAAACAAAATACATCTGTATACTCACATATGTTTTATTAAAGCATGACAGGAAAATGTTCCAAATGTTTTACATCTGTATACTCACATATGTTTTATTTAGGAATGACAGGAAAATGTTCCAAATGTTTTTTTCTTTCTAATTTATAAAGTCAGTGAAATTTGATCTGACTGTTCTTAACACTCATTGTTGTTGCTCTGGTTTGTTTTTCAGATCTTGGCAAGCTATATGTTTTGACAGACAACCAGCATCTTTTATCAGAATCGTTGGAACTCACAACACAGCTAATGAGGTAACTTAAGAGAGGAAAGCCTGCTGTATGATTGATCCTGAAATAGGTTTTATATCACACAGTTTTCATTATTCAGGGCTGCCAAAGGTTAACTTGGTTCTTCTGCCTGGATAACCTACTAAAAGAGACAGGATGTGTTGTTTAAGTGAATATATAAAGAATTTATTGTTGTCTGTAAAAGTCTTTTCACAACCAAGTCTACAAATTTATCATTGCAGTGTTTGTGTGGCCTTTATTATAAGATAAGAACATAAGGGACACCAATGTTGGATCAGGCCAAAGGCCCATCCAGTCCAACACTGTCACACAGTGGCCCAAAATACCAGGTGCCTTCCGGAGGTCCACCAGTTGAATGTTGAATGTTGCTCATGTACATTGTTAAAAGTGATCAGATGATTCTGATGCACTGGCATGGCAATATAGATCTATAAATAAGGGAAATGGCAATCAATGGTTGATTTTCAAATGAAAGGATATAAAAATGTTATATGTTGAAATCAGGAAGCCAGCCAGGTATTGATTTGCTTTGCAATGTGGTTTGCTTTAATTGTTGGTCTATTGTATTTGTATTTTTTTCTCTGTAAGATAAGCATTCTTCCTTCAGGACATGATTTGTATGAGGCTCCCCCATTTCATGCTCCCCACCACCCTGTGAGGTAAATTGACAGACAGTGATTAGCCCCAGATCACTCAGAGTGAGTGCCATTGCCTTACTGGGGGTTAGGAGCTTGGGAATCCCTGGAATGAGGGGCAGATTGGTCATCAAGGCCATCAGGAGGTCCCAGTTGGCTGATAGCCTAGGAGGCTGCCACCCCAGCACCAAACAAGGTACAGCCACATCCTGTAGCCGTCACTGAATGCTGAGCAGGAAAGGAGACACTGCAGCCCCACTGAGCACCACACAGTAAAGCCCAGCCAAGTTGGGTGTGGTTTGAGGTTTTTGTGCAGGCTCTTTTCCCCTACCTCCCTCCTTTGGGATGGCAGGGCCCTTTTTCACAAAGTTCTTCCTCCCAGTTCACCCCTGTGCAGAACCACAGTCTTTTCAGGAGTTATAGATTACGAGTGGCAATTTAGGATGTGTGGGTTGGATCCAGTCTCTTGAGCAAAAGTTGCAGGAACAATGTGGAGTAATAGCTATGCAGGTTTGTGAGCTGCAGTGAAGAGGGGAAAGGGAGTGAAATTGCTTCCTTCTCCCTTCTCCATCAACATACCATCACTGACAGAAAAAACAGGAAGGATGATCTTGCCTCTTCCTCACTGGGGCTGTCACACCATGTTGATCCTGTGACCCCAAAAATCAAGTTTTCTGGGGTCTGAAGGGACTACTGGGGGTGGGGGAGAGGAAAATGGAGACGATCTGTATCTATCAATACCTTCTGCTGGACAGTCCAACACTATATCTTTGCTGAATTGTATCCCGTGGATTGAGCTTACTTTGTGCATTTTGTCTGGTGCATTTGTAGTTACTGTCAGCCAAGATTTTACTTCACATAATGAAAGGAAAGAAGTCACTGTATTTGCTATCTTATTCACATGTAAGCCCACAGCCATCCCTATCAGTGTTGCTTTGTTAGCCTAAGCAAACAGAGAGAAAAAAAGAACAAAGGCTGAAGTGAATCCATGGACTGGAAAGCCCAAAAATATTGTATAAACCTCTCCCCCCCCCTCTCTATATATATATAGAGAGAGGAAATATATGTATATGTGTGTGTGTGTGGTTTTTAATATAGTAATGTTGTTGAGTTTTCACTAGATATGTCTTAGAGCCAAGATCTTGATGTAGGCTAGCATATTTATAACCCTGTCAGTCACATTTGATGATCTTTTTTCTGAAAGAGAGCTGCTATATTTTACTCCTGTAAAAAGTGAATAACGTCATATCACAAAATAAATAATAGCACCATTAAAGTAGAAGCCACAAATGCAAGTAGGTAAATTATTCATCCTTTTAAACTGTCTGTATGCGTGTGAATTCCTTCCCCTTCCCCTCCCCAATAGATAACCAAGGAAGCACTTCAATGCCTGTTGGAATCTTATATGTGAATAGATTAATGTCTTTAAAGGCAGTAATATTGCATGTTCATGCATACATATTTCATGCAATGAGGAATTATAAATAAGGCAGTAAATTGGACTTGGGGATGGCCTTGGAATGGCATTAACCATTCATTGCTTGACTCTCAACAAGCATTTGTGGTGGTTTCCTGAGATGAAAGAGAATAAAATATTTACAAATTATAAAATGTAAACTTTTGAACCTAGTCAATGATTAGCACTGCTAAGTGGTTACTGAATAACAACATGCTTCCTGTTGTGCTTATTCTGTTTTTTTTTCCCCCTTTGTTTTTTCCACACTAAATACTTGCTTAGATATTGTGTGTGTCTGCATTTACAGTTTGCAGTAATTAGGATCATGGTAATCATCAGAATAGATAGACAGTGTTCTGCTTGGAAGTCAGCATCCTGTCACTAGCAGTGATCATTATCAAATGCCTCTGTAAATATGCAAATAAATGTGCAGTAGACAAGTACAGGATAGCCTGCTGCTAGGAAAATTGTTCTCTTAATCCCCATTTAGTGGTAAAACTAAGCCCTAATGGCCTTTTGAATTATATGTTATTCATCTTTTATAATTGAGCTTAAGACCTTTGGTCATAGAAGCTAATAAATATAAGCAAGAATGATATGTTAGGATTGCCAATATTTTAGAAAAGCTGCATATGTTTCAGAAATATAATAGTAATTTGTTTTAAATAGTATGGTGTTCTGTAGTATGTATAAATTTATCAGAAATAATACATAATATTGTTGTTCCCGATGGGATCACAAGAGTACTTTTTAAGTGTAACAGGTGGGTCATGAGAGCTGCTTTCATTCATGACATAATCTTGGAAGCCTTCAATTATTGTTCTAGAGAGGATCTTTTAGAGCAGAGTTCCCAAAGGTAATGCTCATGGGGCATCATGCCATCCATGAGCACCTTTTCTGGCACCTGCCAAGTGTTTTTAGAAGATGGGTGTGGCCAGCTGGGGTTTTTGCTTCTGATTGGCCAAAGGAGTTCTGATTGGTTGTACAGATTTTTAAGACATTGCTTTGGCAGCAGTTGCCACCAACGCACAAGGATCTTCACTGTGTGCGTGAAGATAACCTTTGTGTATGCAAGAAAATATTTTTAAATGTTTTGTTCATTTTAAAAGCCATTCTATTAAACTGAACTTCTGCCTGAAGAGTATTCAGAGAAATATTCAATAATCCGAGGAAAGAACCCAGAAGAACATTCAAGAACTGTGTCAAGAAAGATTAGCTGGACTATCAGAAATTAATTTAAAATTACAAGAACAAACACAAGAAAATATAAAAATCAAAAAGAAGCAAAAAGATAATGACACACATTTAGAAAGGCAGGCTCTTCGGATTGAGAAGGCAGAACAAAGAATTTAAATCCTAGAAACTCAATGTGGATCTAATAATCTGCATTTTAGAGGAATCCCAGAGGATTTTGAGAGGCCAAATTGGGGGGGGGGGGACTTCTGTGATTTACTTCAGAATTATCTGAAGGTAGAGGAAGATTTCCTGACATTGACCAGATTTGTAGAGTGAATTCAAGATTTGCATTCAAGAATAAGCTACCTTGAGATGTACTGGTTCGATTCACCTACAAGAAAACACAAGACACAATACTAAATAAACAAAGGGAATCACCACTCAAGATTGCAGGAAAAGAAGTGCAGATCTTTCAGGATTTACCAATGAATGTGTTAAAGAAAAGGAAAGACTTCAACTTTTTGAGACAGATTTTACAAAATAAATAAATAAAATATTGTTGGGAAATACCATTTGCAATACAGGTATTTTTTACCAAAAGGAAGAAAAATAATCGCAACAGAGGAACAAGCCAAGCAATTGGCTGAAGAACTGCAAGCAGAGAACTTATATAGAGGAACAGAAGGAGAATCTCCAAGTAATTCAAAGCAGTCTGCTAGTAGCTTGAAGCAAAGTTCACAGACCAAAAACTCTGAAGAAGAAACAAGCATAGAAAAGGATAAGTTGTATGTGGCAACAATATCAGGGCAAAATGGATAAATTAAAAATAGCATCAGTAAATATCAGTTCTCCAAAACTCATGAAAATCAACTGAAAAAACAAAACCACTGATATATTACACCTACAAGAAACTCATATAAAGAAGGAATACAAACATATTTTAAACAATCAAAAATTGGGCAAAGCATATCTTGCTTCAGCACAAAATAAAAAATGTGGAGTAGCCATTTACATCAGCAACCTACAATTAGAAGAATCAGAAGACTTGCAGCGCACTTTCAGTGCATTTCAGCAGTCGTTGTGGGAAACAGGAAAATCCAGTTGCAGACAAGTGCAAAAGTGCATTTAAAGTGTGTTCTCCAACGTGTATCAGAAGAACCCATGGCAGGATAAGCTGAAGCTGAATACAGACAGTATGGCAGTGATACTGGTTTATTTATTTTATTTATTTATTATTATATTTTTATCCCGCCCTCCCCATGAACGGGCTCAGGGCAGCTAACAAACAAGGGCACCGTGTGCCAAATGTAAAACATTTGTTGTTCTTCAGTTGCACAGTCGAGTCCAACTCTTCGCAACCCCATGGACCAGATCCCGCCAGGCCTTCCTGTCTTCCGCCGTCCTCTGAAGTTTGCTCAATTTCATGTTCGTTACATCTATGACACTGTCTAACCATCTCATCCTTTGCCGTCCCCGTCTTCTTTAACCTTCAATCTTTCCCAGCATCAGGGACTTCTCTAGTGAGTGCTCCCTTCTCATTTGGTGGCCAAAGTATTTGAGCTTCAATTTCATTATCTGGCCTTCCAGGGAACAGTCAGGGTTGATTACTTTTAGGATTGACTGATTTGATCTTCTTGCAGTCCAAGGGACTCTCAAGAGTCTTCTCTAGCACCATAGTTCAAAAGAATCTATTCTTCGGCGCTCGGCCTTCCTTATAGTCAAACTCTCGCAGCCAT